AAAATTTTTAAATTGTAAGACAGGAAAGATGGAAAAATTTACTTTTCTCTTAAATTTAAATTTTATTTCATACTTTTGGGCAAGCCAGGTTTATACCAAGAAAATAATATGCATCTACAATCTTTTAATAAAAAATGAAAAAAATTTCCCCATAACGGATTCATTAAAAACGTGTGAATAAAATTCAGAAAAGAACTTAGAGGGATTTCCATTTTAAAAATTTTGACGATATCTTAATTTGTTGGATCCAAAAAGTTTCCAAATGTTAATTTTATCTTTTAAACCCTTTTTTTTTTGTTAGTATAAAAAAAGGGCAAAATAATCAATTAATGACATTCAATAATTTTTTTAAATCGTAATTAAATTTACTATACAGAAATATAAGTAAAGCCATCAGAAAGGGGGGCTTTTAAATAAAAACGAAAGCATTTAAAATTCTTAGTCAAAAATTTAATTTAAATAGAAACTTTTTTTTTTAAACTAATATAAAGGCTATTTGCAATTATTTTTTAAGATTCAACAATAGCTGAACTTTGAAAAAAACCCCCATTTTAATTATTAAGCTCGAAAACTGTCAAAAATTTTATGTTTGACGGGGAGGATAACACTTTGAGGGGTTTGGTTCTATCATTATGGAATTTGGCCTTCAAATAATTAACACGAATGTCATTATCCTTTCCTATTCTTGAAGACACAGCGGGAAAATCCCTGCGGTGGTTTGGGGACAAAATATAAACCAGTATGGCAATGGAGTTACCAAAGTTAATTCCCAATGCTTTCACTTTAAATGAAACAAATTAAATCTTTTATTCAAAATTTATTTACAAAATAAAACGTTTTTAAGGAGTATCGACCCTACGAAAAGGGAAGATAATTTTCCCAAAAAATTATGAAACACTCAGTTTTTTTTATCAAATTTTCAATTTACACCCTTGTTTTGGATGGAAAATTTTAGAAATTGTGTACAAAAATTATATCAATATAAAACATGTCAGTGTTTATTTTTGTGCCGAAGACTAATTCATTAAAAAAATTCAAAGAAATCATTTATTCCGACCCCTTTTCCCAAGAAGAAAATGTGTCAACGTTATTAGTCTATTTTTTGTGCTTATTAAATGTGAAAAAAATCACAGCAATGAAAGTTTAAAATATTTCAACTCCTGAAAAATTATGGCCTGTGCATAGTAAGATCCGGAACATTAACTGCCAAGATTGGAAAAATACAGTTAGTCATTTCTACTTTACAATTTACACACGGTTTAAAAAAACTGGATTAAATTCTAGTTTGAAATTCATATTTAGTACACATGAAGTGTATTAAAAATTAAAAGTGAATTATATCCAAAAACAAATAAATTCAAATTCCCCCAAAATATGTTGGTTGAAATTTATATTGATATGATTTATAGCCAATAATATAATCTTCAGGACACTGGTAAAAGTCATAGATGATTCAATATTGGTTAAAAAAAAGATGATGGTTGTCTATCGGGAAATTTTACAAAAATTTTTATATAAAAAAATTTTGAAATTGAAAAGTTTTTTTTTTTAAAAATTTTGAACAAAAAAAATTAAAAATTTTTGGAAAATTTTAATTTGTTCATATAAAAATTGAAAGTAAAAGATATGGAAAAGAATTAAACACGAGGGAAACAGCAAACCACCCTTGCAAGAAATGAAAGAATTTGTAGAATGTGTGACATACATGACCTAGAAAGATCGATGTAAAATATCTCTATATGGAAGTCTACACCTAACTTGTCTGAGATCAAAAAAAGATTTACAAAAATTTTATTTAAATATATTTTTAGTTTTTAAAACCATTTGGACTGAAAATCGTCCAAATTCAAATATTAAAAAACATTACAAACCATTTAAATTATTTATCAATAGAGACTTTCAAAGTTTGTGAATATACCTTAACTGCGCAATTGTCTGTAGGCCAATGTGAAATTACCCTTTAAATATGAATTTTTATTAGAAAAAATAAGTTTAGTTCGGGTTTCCTTTATATGATACAACAATTTCTTCATGGAACCAGGAAGGGCATGCATAAAAAAAGTGAGTAATGATAATTTTTTTTTTTTTTGTTTTTTTTTTGCGTATTTATATGACGCTGAAACAAAATGATTTACATGTATAAAACTTGTAATACATATTATAAGGATATACTTCTTTGTTGCTGAAAAAAAGAGAAGAAATTGCAAACTATGGCGATCGCTCATTTATTCGATTTTTTTCATGATAACAAACAATAATATTTTCTGAAATTAAAATAGTATATTTTTCCTAAGCTGGTACTTATCCGGTGAATATTATGACATGATTCCTTAAATTGAGTTATTCGTACAAATACAAATATATAAAGATTTATTATAAGCATTTCAAATTATTTAAAGATACTTTGATCATAATGTTGTATTACAATTATCAAACTCGCAAAACAATATAAACCCCTCCATTACTGAGTATGGTTTTCGAAGAAGATAAAATTTAAAGTCGAGATAGATATTTGGAATTTTTTTATATACTAGTATTTATCTTCACAAAGGAAATTCCTGTAGATGTGCTTTCGGAAACTTTGTTCAAATTTAGATTATATATTTAAAGGAAAATATGGCTAACTTAATCACAGTACATTGTTTAATACGTTTTCTTTTACGTGACTCTATAATATTGCTACAGAAAGTGCCACTAACAGCCATGAAATTAGAAATATGCATATTGTGTTTATATAGCAGAAATTTGTGTAGTTACTTTACATCTTGGCTAAAGGACTAAATTACACAAGTTGGCATCACATTCACAGGTGTTGAGTGCAAGCAAGCGCGACCAATCGTATAAGTCTAATTTTACGAGATTTATATGCACACAGCAATTATGGGTTTAACAGCTTTGTATTTATAAAAAAAAAAACAGTCATTCTTGTATTTAAACCTATATTTCAAAGGCTAAATTCACAGAAGAATTTTTAAAATATATATATAAAAAGAAGAGGAAAAGACTTTTTTTCCCAATGCAATTTGCTACCGGATAAGAGAAAATAGTATATGTATAAAATTCGAGGCACAAACTTTTGTGACTTTATTCAAAATTGCACGAACATTAGTTCAACCTACATATAACAGGTTCAAAGTATCGAGTATATGGACCATGTAGTTAGTGAATGATGATTTTAAATTAGACTTGAACCGAAACTATTGACATCCTTGTCTCAATTTTTTTTTTCAATAACTTGCTCCTTTTTAGAGATCGTTTATATGCAGAACATGTCCTTGCGCATCAAATAAACTTAGACAAAAAAAACTTCATTCGCATATAATTATGATATATTGCTTAAAACATCAGTGAAGTTGAAAAACACCTCGTTAATTTAAACGAATAATGCTTTCTTTGCTTGTAAGTATGGGAATTAATACTTCAATTGTTTCAGAAAAAAAAAACATTTTACTTTTGAATGTTATTTATTCTGCATTGACTGCAACATTATCCTTCGTACTGACAAAGAACTGTTATTGTCTATATAATTACACTTGCATGTATAATTTAAAAAATAGGATTAAAAAAGCTAATTATTGTAGCACGATCGTACATCAGACGCTGCTCATCATATAAATTTGGCTTGCTTAGCGGCGTTTATTGACTTATTATCAAACGTGTTTTCTTAATAAATAAAGGAAATATTTAGTGGATGAAATATATTGAGATAACGAACAGTTTTCAAGCTCAAAATTCCATTAAACAATACAAAAGTGGAGCAGAGCAAACACGGACCTCAAAAACATCAGAAGTGGAGTTAGGTGCTATGGAGGAGTAAGCATACTACTATTAACTTTGCTAAAGTTTGTGATTTAAGATTTTTTTTCGTTTTGTTGATTTTCAGCATATTCTTTACACACTCTTTATCCTGATTCAATTGAGGTGATATTTAGAATAATAATATAGACATCTCCAACATTATTCAACAAAGTTTTTTTGTTTTTTTCAAGAAGGAGCTTCGTTTTCTGTATTTTATCTTTTAGTAATAAAATGCTAAATAAAGTAAGTTTCTCACTTTTTTAGCAGTTGAAATTGTTTTCTTTTTGTTTATACCTCAACTAAATTGATACCCTATCTTTTGAAGGTCGGAAAATGTTGGAAAAGGTGCACATTGTAGTGATTTGCGCATATTGTATCATTTTGAGAGGAGCACGCTCAACTTTTTGCACCGAGGATCCCAAATGCCATTGCATTGATCTTCAGGATGGCCTAAAAGCAGATTGTTCAGGAAAAGCATTGATATTTCTTCCCAAATTTTCACAAAAAGTAACTCAAATAGAAGCAAGCAACAACAATATAACGAAATGTCCAAACCTATCGTACCTGCAATCGCTAACTTATTTAGATTTGTCTTACAACGATATAACGAACTTTCATAGTAGCACCTTTGATAATTTGATAATGCTCAGGACGCTTAATATTTCGAATAACAAATTTAAACTAAACGATGAGACTTTTCCTCCTTTGTTGTTTGAACGATTAACCAATCTGGAAGTTCTCAGTATGAAGGTCAAGGACCCACCAGACCCAAACAAAGAGGCATATCCTAAAAGTCTCTCACTGCTAACCGGGTTACGTCACCTGTCTATCAATGGACTTCCTAATAGCAGATTCGGTCGAAAATTTTCCCAGCTAAGGAAACTTACGATTCCGGAATATTCCAAAAATCATGGCGGACATTGTCAAGTCGAGACTATCGATAAAGATTATTTTACACATCTGAAGCATTTAAGGAGATTAAGATTCTACAACACTGTGGAATAAAATCATCGCATCTAACGCATTTTCTGTATTATCGGATTCAAAAAGAACTAGATTTGTCATATAATAAGGAATTCACTTTTAGAAACTTAGGAATCGTACTTTTGATTTACAATTTACATCCATATATATATTAAAAATTAAACATATACACTGCATTTTTGGAATGGGAACAAAACATCACGCGGGATGATGTATGGTACATTCAAAATACATCCCTCACAGAGCTATACTTGGATAGCAATAAAATTGAGTTGTTGGAGGCCAATGTTACATGGATATTCCGGCGACTGAAAGTCTTATCTATAGCTGACAATCGTTTAACACAAGGCATATATATCTTCCAGTTCAGTGCAATGAGAAACCTTATTTGGTTAAATGTGAGTCAGTCATTTTCATCACATGACTTGATTGGCGGGAATTTCATCACAGATTTAAAATGCAAAGATGACTTGCCTTATTCAGTAAATCACCACACAATTACTAAACGAAGTGTTGGTTTTGTTCAAAGTTCTCTGAAAAGACGCAGAGAAAATTCACAGTTTCCATTAGTTTTTCCACTTCCACCAAAACTAAAAATAATGTATTTGGTCCATGGTTCATTGGGATATGATGTTCCAAAAGTAATATTTTTAGAAAATAGCCTAGAAAGTCTTTCATTGCAGGGAAATCAACTATCCAATTTAATAGGTCCAATCATTGGATTAACGAAACTTAAGATTTTAAACTTATCCAAAAATAATTGCAAATATATTTCCGATTATTTCTTTGATTTCTGGAATTCTATTGAAACATTGCAACTGTCAAAAAACAAACTTGGCAATTCTTTAGCTAGAGATATTGATGGTAGGATTTTTAAAAAATTAACAAATTTGACACATTTGGACTTGAGTAATAATGAAGTTGAGTCGCTTTCGGAAAACGTGTTTCAATCACTATCTGCCATTTCGAAACTTGACCTTAGTTTTAATTTAATAGATAATCTTTTATTCAAATTCGGCCATATGAAAAGTTTAAAAGTTTTGAACTTAACAAATAATCGATTAGCATCTTTATCAGAAACAACAAGACGTACGTTGGATGATATAACAAATGGGAGGAATTATCCATTAACATTAGATCTACGTAACAATCCTTTACTTTGTAACTGTGATACAAAAGCGTCTATTAAGTGGATGTTTCTACAACAAAAGAAAAATATTGACTTACTATCATTTGAAACTTTTAACTGCTTCACGGAGGATAAAAGAATTTTCTCCTTCAAAGACAGAAAAATCTTGATTGAGTTGGATAAGAGGTGTGGACCGTACTCTGAGCTAGCTGCAGGAATGTCAGTGTTGATAACCGTGGTCCTTGTTCTCCTAATTTCACGAATCGCCTACCGATACCGTTGGAAGGTTAGATATTTTTATTACGCGACCAAAAGTAAATTTCATGGGTACAAATCACTCAAAAACCATTTGATATATAAGTATGATGCATTTATTTCCCATGCTGACGAGGACAGGGGTTTTGTGATTAAGAAGATGTTACCAAAGTTAGAAACTGAGCGAAACCTTAAACTTTGTCTTCACTTCCGGGACTTTGTACCCGGATATGACATAGCAGAAAATATATCAACAGCGATAAATCAAAGTCGATACACTGTTTTTGTGCTCTCGCCAGAATTTGTAAAATCTTATTGGTGTATGTTTGAACTAAGAATGGCGCAAATGGAAAGTTTTTACGAGAGAGCAGGAGAGGAGATGTTGTTTGTGGTACTCTACAAAGTTTTACCTCATCCCGAAATACCTCTACATCTTCGTGAAATGATGGATAAAAAATCTTACATAGAGTATCCAAAAGATGACCCAGAGAAACAAGATTTTTGGAGTAACATCCATTTCACTTTGAACGGATCCGGAGAAATTGTATCATCAGTTTGATACTATTTTTTCGTACATATTTTTCTTATTTGAATTGTATTCTTTATGTAGTATACGATTAAATAATAAAAACATTACTTTTGAAGACCTTGTTTAAAGTTAAAATTGAAATTCAACAGCTTGAAAATTGCAAGGCGGTCCTTAGATTAAGACATTCACCAACATCATTGAAAAACTCAAGATTCTTTTTATTTATCATATTAGATTGGTGCTGTTGTCGTCGTTTTGGATGCATTAAACCATGATAACTATATCTCTCAACGTTAAAAGGTTACATGTACTGGTATATTAGGATATATGTAAGAAATAATTTCTAGCCTTAGTTTTATTTTATTTAATATATACAATTACTTAAAAATCATTTAATAGATATAAAAATATGAGGTATGCTTTTATGAAAGATACTGAAGAGGACAGGGATTTTGTGACAAAGACAATGTTACCAAAACAAAAAAGGTTGCGCTCTGCCGCTACAATTTTTATTCATACTGCTGTATTGGTTGAAGGGTGTACTGTATATGTGTTCGGTTGAGATAGCTTGCACTCAAATTTTTCGTTTTGATACTTAAATTCGATGAATTCATTTTTGAAACAAAATACAATGTAGAACAATTTGAGTTTATGTTTAACGTGCCTTGAGAAATTTTTCACATACATATGGAGAAGCCACTAATTGTCGACGAAGGGTTGCAAGTTACATACTCATGCTCGGCAATCAGGGCAATTGAGCAGTCGGGGATCCTTTGATGCCAATACCTACTGCAAAACATGATCTTAATATACTCTGACTCATCCGAGGGACCGCTTACCATGTCCCACAGTAGGATTCGAACCCACGACGTTAAGATCAACTCCTTACTCTGCTAATTTAGGACCAAACCTCTAACCACTGCACCTCGCAGGCGACCATAAGCCATTGAAACCACTTGCAATTGGGACTTCTTGGGATCTTTCATGGAGAATGAATAGAATTCTTTCTGAAAACTCATCTAGAATTAAACTTGTCTTAATGTTTAAGAAGACTGTCAAAACTACAAAGTACATGTATTAGAATACAAATAGAGTTCGTGGGACTAAATATTTATGCATACATTGCTGTATGAAAGAAAAGGATTAAAAAAAAATGACTGACTCCTCAGCATAATCAGCAAAATTTATCCTTAATTATATTAAGAATAACGCAATGGAAAATTTGCGCAAAATAGCAGAAGAATTGGTGTTTGTTGTTCTTTTAAGGATAAATCTAATCCAAATGCATCACTTTACCTTAGCAACCTGTAGAAGAACAAAATCACGATATATATTGAACATCAACAGAAAATGACGCATAAATGTATAGAAAAAAGAGTTTTAGGACAACTGCAATTCTAATTTGACGGCAAAAATTTGTAACATCAATTTAATATTTCAGTTTTCTACTTTATAGCTTATTTTACTGGCATATACTGAAAATGATAGAGCATTATTAATGTCGTATGCCTTTGCGTCATGGTGTTTTCATATACTCAATATGCTTTACATTTCAATCCGACTTTTATGTCTGAACAGAAATGTTGACATTCCTTATATAATGGAATTTTAAAAAGAAATTAAATATGTTATACTCTGTTTACATAGATCGTCATCAAATGAAATTAATAAAAGTCACTTTGTAACTTTTAATTTTTTTCCTCAGAAAGATTACATTATTTGAAAGCATTTCTTACTGATTTGAAAACAACTGCGAAGATCGAGATTTTTTTCATTACAATGATTTTGTTTGCAAGTAATTTATATATCCATGTATTACTAGGATGTGATGGTCATGCGGACTCATGCAAATGCCGGTAATGTGCTGTACTGATGAAATTCGTAAATTTTAAGAAAAGTGTTTCAACACACTTTCTCTCCCATCTGAATAAAGAGAAATAACTACAATTTGTAATTCCCATCAATGTCTTCTTTCCTTCCTTTATTTTCACAGAAAAAATTTGATGTTATTTTCACAGAAATAGTTTGATGTTATTAATTATATAAATATGATAGTTCACTTTGAACTCCGTATAAATTACAAAGAACTACATCTTCGTTACATAATATGTTCTTTAAAGTTTATCCAGGAAGTTGTACAGTTTGGGTATGATGGGATTGAGACCTTTCCGCTGTCTGACTTCTGCTACAACAGCACTCAGAGCTCCCCGGGTGGCTCAAACCTCGCACACTAACCCTTTCTACCATCTTGCTGAGTCAGTCATGTGATCTTATTTGAATTTCATTCCAATGTTATACTTTTGAAATCAGAGTTACTTTGTTGCAGGCTCAACACTCTGTTCTTGCTTTCAACTATTACTAACATATTGCTGTAATTAACATGAGGAATTACACAAATAAAGAAACCTCACATAAGAACTTTAGGCAGAGCGAAATATGAAATGAGTGACGAGACAGTTTCGACATGTATCGACATGATGCGTATTACTCCACCTATCACATCCGAGGTTTGAATGGAGCTTAGCGAAGTCAGCCGAGGATTGCCGATTGCTACGACAGTTCCGACTTGTGACGTCTGCTCCAGAGGGTCGCCTGATAGAAGTTGCCAATGATCAAACACACATTGGGGAGCCTGTCCACCTGTTTGTCCTCTCAACTCCTCTGCGAAACCTGCGAAATAAAACTCTGCGAAGAACCACCTGTGCGTGTTTCAAAAATATATCTGTCCTGTTGTGGTGATTAATTTATTGTTGTAAATTAAGATTTATAAGGATATACTTCCTCGTACTGGAGAAAGAGAAAAATGTAAACTGCGATGCTAGTTCTCTGATTTATACAACATTTCGTTCAAGACAAACAAGAGACAATAACTGAAATAAAAATAGCATATTTCTTCTTAACTACAGTGTATAAATATCTCCGATGAAGGTATCCGACCAATGTTATAAAGAAATGATTTCTTAACCTGAAATATCCGTCAAATAAAGTATACAATAATTTTCATCATAAGCATATCAAATTATTTTAAAATATTTTGATAATGATTTTGCATTAAAATTATCACACTCGCAAAACAATACAAGCCTTTTCTTACTGAGTATAATTTTCGGATAAGATAAAATATTAAGGTAAGGATTGCGTCTTCAGATGAACACAAATATGCAAATATCTCTCTATCTCTCTCTCTTCTAAATAATTCAAATATCAAACTCAGCACAAAGTTTAATACTCTCTCTCTCTCTCTCTCTCTCTCTCTCTCTCTCTCTCTCTCTCTCTCTCTCTCTCTCTCTCTCTCTCTCTCTCTTTAATTTAACGAGATTATAGGCGACATTGTGAATTCACACAACAATAAGGAAATCAACATCCAGTGCTTCATCTTTATGGAAAAAATCTGTCAATCATGTTATTAAACCCACATTTCGAAAGCCAAATTCACAGAAGGATTTAAACAAATTATAAGAAGAGAGGAAGAGACTTCGCATCATATCCATGACATATCAAATGAAATGTGATAACGGATGAGTGGATAATTAGTAGAACATGCGATGAATTCACTTTAATTTAAACAAAAAATACTTTCTTTGCTTGTAAGTATGGAAATTAATATTACAATTGTTGCAGAAAAAATACATTTACATACATTGGTTATCTTATTTTATTCTGCAATAGCTGCAATGATATCTCTCTTACTAACAAAGACATTTTATCGACCTTTTTTGTATTCATATGAAGCCGAATTTGTCCAAAATCTTATACGTGAAAAAAGAAGAAAATTCCCGTGTCTTCCTTGCATTTTAAAAATATTTGAATTCC